AATTAGCCAGGGTCTGGTGGGCAATGCCTGTGGTCCCAGCCTACTGGGGAGGCTGAGGAAGGAGAATCATTGAACCCAGGAGTTTGAGGTTGCTGTGAGCTAGGCTGACACCATGGCATCTAGCTCAGTTCTATTTATAGTGGAGATGGGGTCTCGCTTTTGCTCAGGCTGGTTTCAAACTCCTGACCTCGAGCAATCCGCCTGCCTTGGCCTCCCAGAGAGCTAGGATTACAGCCATGGGTGAGCCACCACGCCGGGCCTCTTTCTATTTTTAGTAAAGACGGGGTCTTACTTTTGCTCAGGCTGGTCTCGAACTCCAGAGCTCAAGCAATCCTCCCGCCTTGGCCTCTCAGAGTGCTAGAGTGCTAGGATTACAGGTGTGAGCCACTGCACCCGGCTGGGCCTCAACTTTGAATGAATGACTTCAGAGTCAGGTACAGTGGCACATGCCTGTAATCCCAGCTCCTGGGGAAGCTGACGTAAGATTACTTAAATCCAGGAGTTCAGGATTGTAGTATGCTATGATCATGCCTGTGAATAGCCAGGGGCAACATATGGAGACATGGTCTCTCAACAAACAAAGAAACCCCAAAAAGAATATCTGCTTCCACACACCTATCTTATTGCTACCATTTGTATAGGCTTCTCAGAATTTCTCCAGTGTATTTTCCATGACGTGCTCACTTCAATCTAGCCAAGAAGACTTAAGAAAGCAAAAACTGGGAAAAGAGATGATGCTGTCTTTTGCAGTCACAGGATGTGAAATTAGTTTTAGAGTCAATGTCTCAGAGTCAGGCCGGGTGGAAAAGAGGAGTGAAACCCCTTGGGGAGGGGGGCAGAAGGAGAGAGGATAATTGTATTTCATTGCATCCAAGTCCTAAAAGCTGTAATCAGTGAGATTTTAGGACTCTGATGCCCTTATTTTTTCTGATCCTAGGTCCTAGGTAGGACTTTTCCCTTGAGAAATGACAATTTAATAAAAACACCCAACACAGAGTACCTGGCACAGAAAAGGCAGATGTTTTTCAATATGAATATAAGAGAAGAAGAAATTTGGGCCTGGAGAAGTGACACAGTTTGTACAAGGTCACAGAGCTAACACATGGTCTCTGGTCTCCCTTTTCTTTCTTTGTTTCTTTAGAGACAGGGTCTCACTCTGTTACCCAGGCTGGGGTACAGTGGCCTAATCATAGTTCACTGCAACCTCAAACTCCTGGCCTCAAGCAATCCTCCTGCCTCAGCATCTCAAAGTGCTGGGATTACAGGCATAAGCTACGGTGCCTCAGCCTTCTTAATATTTACTTAAGTAATACACCAGTAACTTCTCCATGTCAAAAACTAAAACATCAGTCTCGTTGGGCCAGGACCCTCTATTATAAACCTCCTTCCAACTCCTCAGAGACAGCCACTGTTACCAAGCTTGTATAAATCCTTTCAGAATCCTTTATCCTGCTTTGTCCACTAAGTATCTGACTTTCAAGGTTGGCTTTTATCTTTGACTCTCCCACACATTTCTATAAGACAGGAATACAAAGAATAGGAAGACAGAACTGACCAGACACAATCCTAACTCCCTGACAAAAGAGGAGAGATAAGATACATCTACACATGAATGGTCATGATAATAAGTTCCATTTGTTAAAGGCACAGCCTCAGCATTCTTTGAGTAATTTAGATGAGTAACAAAGGCTTCCCTTGAGCTGGACCGGACCCTTTAAGGTTTCAACTGCCTCACTTCAAGTAATTTAACAGAAAACAAGTCTATTAGTAACTAGCAAGTTAGTAATTAGTATAGTGGCCTGAACAGATTTCAGTATAAGCTAATTCCTTTTCTATCATACTTAAACTTATTGGGCCCAAAGGGTACAAACAGAATGTGAACATAATTATTAATATTTATTGAGAGTTTACAATGTGACAAGCAGGTATTTTGATAATTTCATTTAATTTTTGCAACCTGGTGAAGTTATTTATCACAGTGGAAACTTCCAATTGAGGTAAGGCCTGCTGAGACTTCAAAGTCCTTGTGTCTATCTAACTAGCCTGGAATACCACCTGTGAGAATCAAATAGGCCAGTAAATGAGAAAATACTTTAAACTCTAAAACACTATGCTACAATTATAAACCATTATTTTATTTATGCTTAATTCCTGGAGTTAACAACCGATCAAATCTTTTCTTTCCATTTAAAGAGATTTTAATTTTTTTAAGAGTAGTGGGCATGGTGGCTCATGTCTGTAATCCTAGCACTGTAGGAGGCCGAGGCAGGCGGATTGCTCAAGGTCAGGAGTTCAAAACCAGCCTGAGTGAGACCCCATCTCTACTAAAAATAGAAAGAAATTAATTGACCAACTAAAAATATATATACAAAAAAATTAGCCCGGCATGGTGTCGCATGCCTGTAGTCCCAGCTACAAGGGAGGCTGAGGCAGTAGGATGGCTTGAGCCAAGGAGATTGAGGCTGCTGTCAGCTAGGCTGATGCCATGGCACTTTAGCCTGGGCAACAAAGTGAGACTCTGTCTCCCCCCCAAAAAAAAATAGTAGTGGGGTCTTGCAATGTTGCCCAGGCTGATCTCAAACTCTTGGCCTCAAGGTAACTTTCCAGCCTCAACCTTCCACCTTGCTGGGATTACGGGTGTGAGCCACCACGCCCACCCTGTCGGATCTTATTGAAAGGAGAAACATTCAATTTTCAAAGACAGAAATCCCGGGTTTGGGTCTCTTCAGCTATATACAACTCTCTAAGCCTGTTTCCTTAGCCTTGAAGTGGGGCAATCTCAGGCTCAAGGGATTGATCATATGATATAAAAATGACTATAAACGGCGCCCAATAAATGTTAGTCTTTTCACTCAGAAGGGGCTTGGAAGTGCAAAGCTCCACCGACATTTAACGAGACTGAAGTCGCGAGGACATCACGCCTTGGTGAGGTTCTTAGGGCCGCAGTTTTCCGGGCGAGCCGTTGGCGTTTTCCCGCGCAGGGGGCGGGGCAGAGCACGAGCCCAGAAACGTGGTCGTGGAACCTCAGCTCCTGCGAGGACCACACCTCCCAGCAGGAAGCAAGCTCAGCACCTGGCAGGCAGCATCCACTGGTATTAGTGTCAGGAAGCTAGCCTCGTCCGCTTGTCCTGGCCTTCCCTCGGCACTGAGGACTCTGGGGGTGCATGTTTGAATCCGCGGGGGGCAAGATGCGGAAGGGGGCGCTTTGCCGTGCAGCATGTTGGGAGTCGTAGTCCCTTGGTGCAACGTTTGGGAGGCTAGGCTTGCCTTGAGTGGTTGGATTACATCACATGACGGGAGAAAGGCGGCCGCAGGGGAGCCACCTGTGGTGCCTTGTGAGGTCATCACGGCGCGACAAGCAGCTGCTGTTGCGGACACCCTGGATGCGGTGGGTAACACTCTCCTGATATCTTCGAGTACAAGAAATGCCACAAAATCTCCCTTATTTGCTCCTTCCCCTTGTCTCCCTTCACTTTGCGCTGTTGGCTTCGCCGGGTTGGGGTGCGGACAGGGGCCAGAGGAGGTGGCGCGCTGTCCTGGCGGGCGGGGTAGCCGCGCGCTAGCGACGTGCAGTGGCTCCGCCTTCCCCCGTGACGCGGAGGCCACGTGACGGGCTGGGCTGCCTCTGCCGCCGCCGCCGCTTTGTAAAAGGCACATTGGCAGGTAACGAGCGGCGGCGGCGGCGGTAGAAGCAGCAGCAGCGGCAGCGGCAGCGGCGCGGCGGCGGGTCCTGAGTCCAGCGTGAGCGGCAGCGGTAATTGCCACCTTCTCTCTCTCCTTGTTCCAGGGCGTTCAGCGCTGCAGCGTGCGCTTTTTAGTCCTGGGTTCAGCTTTTCTGAACACCCAACCTCTTTCGGACTGCCCCAGCGCCCAGCCGTGTGGACCGGGCCAAGCTTCCCTCGCCAGCTTCACGCTCCCTCTGTGTGTCCAGGCCCGGACTCCCTCCTTCCTCTTCCCCTGGGTTGCCCTGTGCTACTTCCTACTTTCCGACATCCTAGTCGCTCGGGCCCCACCCAGCCCCAGGGGGCGCCTTCCCCTCCCCCCTTCGGGTTTCTGCCCTGGAGGGTGTGGTTTTCTCTCCCACCTCGGTCCCTGCTAGTCTGCCGCTGGAGCTCTCCCGCCACGCTGTCGCTCCCATCCTGACCACTTTTCCGCTTTCATGCCCGTGGCTAATCCTGGGACTGGTCCTCTAAGAGCCCAACTTCTGCGCTCTGTGACCTTTCCTGGCTTACCCGGAGGCATAGTTCAATTCTGCTTCTCCTTTTTATTTGGAGGGCTTTGGTCTTGGTTGGGACTCAGTTTTCCTCTTCACTCGTGGTTCCTGTGGTCTGCTTATGTCACAATTCTTTGCTGTAGATTTGAGAGTGCTTTGTAAACTGCGAAGCGCTGTTACAGTACATACAGTGTTATTCTTTCGTTGATGCATTACAACTCAGTTTTCTTTGCCTCGAAATTAAATTACTTTCCCACTCGGCTTTCCCTCCTTTCTTCCCCACCTCCTGAGTTTTTAATCTAATTAGTTGCCCGGGCGTCTCAACTGTCACCACTTTGGTCTCTTAGCCTTGCTTTAAGGGTTGATCTCATCATTTTTTAAGTATCCTGTTTGCCATAGTTTTTCATTTATTTATTTTTTACATTATTTTTATATACTTTTAGTTGGACAAGTAACAATTAATTTCTTTTCCATATATATTTCTTTCTTTTTTTTTTTTTTTTTTTTTAGTAGAGACGGGGTCTCACTCTTGGTCAGGCTGGTTTTGAACTCCTCACCTTGAGCGTTCCTCCCTCCACAGTGCTAGGATTACAGGCGTGAGCCACCACACCAGGCTGATAGTCTGTCATTTATTACCACCTCTATTGGACATTCAGTATATGGTCTACTAATATTTAGGCTATCTTTCTCCAGCACCTGCGTATCCTAACAGTTGAGAGCTCTTTAATTAGAAAAAAAAAGTTTTTTAAAGACATGGGATTTTGCTGTGTTGCCCAGGCTGGCCTGTAACTCCTGGGTTCAAGTCATTCTTCTGCCTCAGTCTCACCACATCTGACTAGTTATGAGCTTTTTAAGGTCTTCATAAGGTATCCAAAGATAATCTTTGATTTGAAGGGCATATAATTAACTTTTTGGGTGAACCCAATTCTTATATTTTTCTCTTTTGCTATGATAGCACTTTTTTCACCATGGGGTATGCCACTAGTTAGTGTGTTCCTCACTTTTTACCATGAGTTGTACTTCCATTTTTGTGTCATTTTGTCAAATAAAGGTGGAGGGAAGATGAGCATCATACCTAAGCTCTCCTGTATCCTAGGCATTGAGTGCATACATTGGTATGGTCCCCATCTATTTCAGGAAAAGGAATAAATTGCACTCTCTGACGATTATAGGGTTTTCCATTACACCAGCATCCTGTGCCTGCCTGCAAAGCACCTTGGCTAGGGCCACCCTCCCATTTCTGTGAAGACTTCTCTTATGGTTAGACAAAGGTAATTAGTTTCCCACACAGCTCTCTGGACTTGCTGCCAGTTTACCCCTCCTGATTTTCCTGCATATGGCTAGTTGACACATGTGATGAGAGAGTTTCTTTTTCTTTCTTTTTTTTTTTTTAAGTGTTGATCTTATTTTATTATCTGACTGGAAAACTAGACAATCCACCAACCCAGGAGGGGATCGGTGGGCTTAATCCTCCTCCTCATCATCTCCGGCTCCAGCCCCACCCTGACCCTTCTTGGCATTCTTCCTCTTCACACGGCCCGGGCGGCCACCGCCATACGGAGAGCGGAGGGAGAAGTCAACGTGCTTCTGGGAGAGTTTCTTTTTTACACCCCTGTCCTGCTTGTTTCCCACAGGTCTGATTTCCCCCATTTGCTGCCTTGCCTCTGACCCTCAATATTTATGAAACTTTTAAGAGACTGGAGGTTTTTGTTGTGATTGAAATAAGACTGGAAGTGGTGGCATGGGAGAGAATGAGGCCATGGGAAAGGGTTGTGGTAATTGCCCCTCCTGCCTGTTTCCTGCTGCTCTGGTTTCCTCTGGCTTCTCTTTAAATGTGGGCTGGACCAGCTGTAGTCACATGGAGTTGTCTTTAGAACATATTAGAACAACACTAACACCTCTGCTTCCCTTTCCTGGTAACTAGTGCAGCTTGTGCAGTCATCACCAGTAGTATCTCTCTTAATATTAGTGGGAGTGACTTATTTATTGTTTGAGAAGAAATGGTGGGAGAACATGGAGAAAAATGGGTTTATTTCATGCAATTGTGGGTTTTTTGTTTGTTTTTTTGAGACACAGTCTCACTCTTGCCGGGCTAGAGTGCCTTGGCTGTCAGCCTAGCTCACAGCAACCTCAAACTCCTGGGCTCAAGCAATCCTTCTGCCTCAGCCACCCAAGTAGCTCGGACTGGAGGCATGAGCCACCATGCCTGGGTAATTTTGTCTATATATATTTAGTTGGCCAATTAATTTCTATTTTTAGTGGAGACAGGGTCTTGCTCTGGCTCAGGCTGGTTTTGAACTCCTGAGCTTAAGTCATCCTCCTGTCTTGGCCTCCCAGAGTTCTAGGATTACAGGCATGAGCCACTTCGCCTCACCTGTTTTATAGTTATTTATTTATTTTTATTTTTATTTTTTTTGAGACAGAGTCTCACTTTGTTGCCCAGGCTAGAGTGAGTGCCATGGCTGTCAGCCTAGCTCACAGCAACCTCAAACTCCTGGGCTTACGCAATCCTCCTGCCTCAGCCTCCCGAGTAGCCGGGACTACAGGCATGTGCCACCATGCCCAGCTAATTTTTTTTTCCTGTATATATTAGTTAGCCAATTAATTTCTTTCTATTTATAGTAGAGGCAGGGTCTCGCTCTTGCTCAGGCTGGTTTCAAATTCCCAACCTTGAGCAATCTGCCCGCCTCAGCCTCCCAGAGTGCTGGGATTACAGGCATGAGCCACCACGCCCAGCCTATAGTTTTTTAAAGAAAAGAAATTATTTTAGTTTTGCAATTTTTTGGTATCAGTGTTAAAGATAAGGTTTGTGAATTTCTGATTGGTGTAACTTATACCATGTTTCCCCGAAAATAAGACCTATCCATACGATAAGCCCTAGCAGGATTTCTAAGCATTTGCACAGTATAAGCCCTACCGCGAAAATAAGACCCAGTGATGGGCATGGCTAGACAGCGTATCTGCACAACCCATGGATTTCATTGCGGAGTGGTAAAGAAAATGAGCAGCCCTTCTCATCTGCCTCACAAGAGCTCTATTGTTCCACATGAGAGATTGGGGCCAATGGTTCTAAAGGAAATAGAGTCGCAAGAAATTCAGGATGGAATTTGAGGTTTAGAGAGTTATGATGATGTTCCAGAAGAAGATGCCTTAACCATATTTGAATAAATGTAGATTGTTGTACCGTACTTTAAAAAAATAACACATCCCCTGAAGACACCTAGACACCCCTAGGGTGTCTTCTTTAGGAAAAATAAATATAAGACCCTTATTTTGGGGGAAATGTGGTACTAGAGTGAGTTTCAATTTCAGATAACGTATTTTCATAGTGGACTTAAGAGTTCGCTTGAGTTAACTGTTCAGAATTAAAGTAGGCAATAGGGCTTACATTAAGGGGTAGATGCTTCATTTTAGACTTGGGTGCTCTTTTATTTTTTATTTTTGAGACAGAGTCTTGCTTTGTTGCCCAGGCTTAAGTGAGTGCCCTGGGGTCAGCCTAGCTCACAGCAACCTCAGACTCCTGGGCTCAAGCGATCCTCCTGCCTCAGCCTCCTGAGTGGCCAGGACTACAGGCATGGGCCACCATGCCTGGCTAATTTTTTTCTATATATATTAGTTGGCCAATTAGTTTCTTTCTATTTATAGTAGAGACGGGGTCTCACTCTTGCTCAGGCTGGTTTCGAACTCCCGACCTCGAGCAATCCGTCCGCCTCGGCCTCCCAGAGATCTAGGATTACAGGCGTGAGCCACCGCGCCCGGCCGGAACTTTCTCCTTTAAAGTTATATTGTATGTACACAATCCAGAAATACCTAGTACTTTTTTTTAAGACTAGTCAAGTGTAGTAGTGAGAAGGGGGGAAGAGTAGAACAAGTTAGTCTGTAACTGATTGAACAGTTGTGATAACTCACTATGTTGGACCTGCCCCTAGTACTTTCACTATGTACACTTTTTTCCCCTGTAATCTCAATATTTTCATCAAATTAGTCCTAGATATTATACCTATGAAGACTTTTACAGGCTCAGAATTTCTTCTTGTTAGTGGTGTCTTTCTTCTTCTGTACCTTTTATTTTATTTTATTTATTTTTTAGACAGAGTCTCACTTTGTTGCCCAGGCTAGAGTGAGTGCCATGGCGTCAGCCTAGCTCACAGCAACCTCAGTCTCCTAGGCTCAAGCAATCCTACTGCCTCAGCCTCCCGAGTAGCTGGGAATATAGGCATGTGCCACTATGCCCGGCTAATTTTTTCTATATATTTTTTTAGTTGGTCAATTAATTTCCTTCTATTTTAGTAGAGACGAGGTCTCACTCTTGGTCAGGCTGGTTTCAAACTCCTGACCTTGAGTGATCCACCCGCCTAGGTCTCCCAGAGTGTTAGGATTACAGGCGTGAGCCACTGCGCCCAGCCCTAGATAATGCTAAATTGTTTCCCATGTGTTATACAGTTCTCAGTCAGTCTCCTCATCTGAACCACAGAACACAGAAAATTGAGTGACTGTTTTCTCAATTCTCTTGATAGTACATAACTAATACCATTCTAGCT